CATCTCTTTTTTTCTTTCTCTTTGTTCCAGACGGTTGATGACGATGCAATTGCAGCGTGAATGAAGCTTGGCGTGGGGAGAGCTGAACGATGCCCAAAGGTGGGGGTTCTAAAACCCCCCAGCTGGACCACTTCCCACTCAACACCGACATGGTGGAAAAGCAGGGTGGGAAGAAGGTAAGACTGGAAAACCTACACACACACACACACATTGTGCCCGATACCCAATGTTTGTTTACAGCTTGTAATCCCAGTTTCTACTGTTAGTCTTTGAAACCTGACACTCAACCACTACTGATAAACAACTACAAAAAGTTGCAAGGCTTCACAAAGGGACACGAAAAAAATGTTGAGCTAAAATAAATAAGAAGGATTTTTTTTTTTCAACCTGGAAGCCTGGGAACAAGTCCTACCACAGAAAGTATCAGTCTTAAATGTTTACCAGTTTTAGTGACTTCGTTTTGTGGTTAAACCGGCTCTGTGACCTCTGTGTGATGAAGGCAAGCATTATGAAAGTTTTGCAGTGATTGTGGTGTCGTCTTTATAAATGATTTAAAGTTAAGTCTGGCTTGGATGTGCTCCTACGTTTAATATTTCTAAGTTGCCAGAACTATGACTTCTAGCGATCAGTATCAAAGGGGACCATCAGTGGACCCTGAAGTAAACAAACATGCCTCCACTTTAAATGTTACCTCAAATTTGAATGTAAAGCTGAATCAATTTCACATTCCTATATCTATATTTTCCAAAGATGGCTACTTGATTTTGAATTCCAAGTGAATAAAATGTTCTAACTGTGCTAAGTATTTCCTAGCTGTGACAGGCCCACCTTAATCCACAGTTACATAAGTGACTCTTGCATAATAGATTCTTGGAAACCAGTGGTCGCAAAGAATGCAGTGTTTGTGCCTTTGAGATCCAGGCTAAAACAAAGCTGAGTTTCTCAGGCAGATTGAGAGGCACCCTTTGGAATTATACGGCCTTGTTTGCCTGTTGAAACGTATTCAGTCTTGAACTGCAGGCTTTGAAAGCAGCGTCCCCTGAGTTAGACACAGGTACAGTCATGTTGTTTGCAGTGGAATAAAGTCTGGGGCGCAGCTTGATGATGTCATGGTGTGTGCCAACTGTTCAGCTAACAGGAGGCGGAGAGAGGAGAGGTACAGCTTATGCAGGCATGGATTTACAGCCCTCTGCAAAGGATTGCATCAGACTCTGGCATGGAGGGAGGGATGAAGCACACAGGGGTGGGTGGAGAACGGAGTGAGACGAAAGAAGCAGGCATTGCTAGGAGACGATTTAAACGGGGTGTCTTCTGGAGGCAGATATGAGCTAAATACATTTTACTCTGCATTAAAAACATAGCTATACTGTAAAGGATGTAAGCTTTGGTGATTAGAAAAATAACTGCATTTTATGTATCAAGAAATACCCCTTCTGAGTCTCATGTTCCTGCTTAGATGTGCTGTATCTTAGCTGATGCACAGACAGACAGAGAGAGAGAGGAAGAGGGAGAGAGATGGGGAGATCAGCTAACTGTGGCTGACACTGTTTGTCTCTACTGTACCATGACATCATAGTCTTGTGACTGGGGCAGGGCAGTGGGAGGAGCTCAAAGTGTTGACACATAATGGAAAACCTGCCCTGGGGATAGAGGGAGATGAGAAGGGGACGGAGTGTAGGACAGAGAAATTAAGTGCAATAAAATATACGTTACATCTAGCCTGCGCCTGCATCTCCATAATGAGACAGTAAACCCTCTGTATATGAACCATGCTGATTCTTTTTCAAAAGGCCTTAACCTCACAACACAACACAGTTTGGACCGAGCAATTCCTCAAATACATCCGGGATTCTGAGCCCAGTGAATCCTTGGCTGGTGTAAATTCCCTTTTCACTCAGTATTTATTCCTGGAATGTTTTGTGATTATTTTTGAAATATATTAAATGTGTCAATGTTTGTCTAATCGACAAGGTGAAGAGAATGTCTCAGATTTAGAATCATTAAATGTACAGCTCTGGTTGATACTGTGGTAAAGTGAACAGACTCTATTTGTAGCATACATGCTCTCCCTTAAGTATTAGAAATCCAGTTGTTCCTAACGTCTTGGCAATATTTGAATGGAGCCATAATACAAATAAAGTACTTTTTTAATTGCTTCTCTGCACCTTTATAAAATAAAAATAACGCATCAATTGCGTATTTGTTGTTAAGTTCTTTTTAGTAGAACCTTAAATGCTTTGGATTTCTGGCTTTGTGGCAAGAATAAATTGCAAAAGAAATAACTTTGAGCGCTAGTAACTTAATTGAATAATGTTATCACTAGAATAATTAACTATAACAACACCAGGCTTTTGCACTGCCTTTTCAGCTCTAACTTTTGGAATGCTGCCGATCACTATCGGATTCCTATACAACAAAGAATCTAGTTGAACAAACACAAGTGTTCGCATCTGTTGATAACAGACACACTTGGGCTTGTGATTGTTTCCAGCAGCTGTAGACCACAGAGCCGCGTCGGCGTAGCCTCCTCTCGGTGCGCCTGGCTCTTTGTGCTGGAATCTAGGAGGAAACTAGATGGAACAGTTTTTCTCTGCAAAGCCCATAATAGCTCAAAGTCTCTGGGCTGAGAACAGGCCTTCAGTAAATACAGGAGGAGACTGCTGGGTCCACAGATAGCTCATAGTTGACCGAGTGTATGGCCTGTGTCTCTTTCCAATGTCTTTTCTTTCTAGCCATAAAAAAGTAAATATTTAAATGACAGTGCTGACAATGATTTTCTTTTACAGGATAAAGTGTTGTCAAACAAGACCCCCAAATTGGATCGCAGTGATGGGGTCAAAGAGATGAAAGAAAAGGCCCCTAAAAGGAAGCTGCCCTTTACTGCTGGAGCTAATGGAGACCATAAAGATTCTGACTCAGGTAAGAGATTATTTGGATGCATTATTATGTGACAAGTGCCACTCCATGTGACTTTGAAGTGGTAATCAAAAGAGGAAGGCTTGCAGGAAATAGTTGGGCGGGCTCTGTGAAAGGGGGGTTGGGCTTTTTGAAGTGGAAGGGCCCCCCAAGTGTTATCTTCCAGTCAGTTGTCTTGGTGGCAGAACCCAGGAAACTGTTCTTACAGTCGCAGTGTAAAAGCAGAGGAAGACCACACAAAATCATGATCCAATGAAGTGGGAGTTTGTACCTCGGTCTGACCAGGACCGGCTTTTGGTAAGGATCCAGCTTTGTGCTTTCTTTAATTAGGTAGAGAAGGACTACTGCTCATGCTTGTTGTCTTTGGGCTTTAAGGGTTCAGGGTTTAACTTGCTGATAATGGTCCAACTCAGAGGCTTTGGCCACAGCCTTCATCATCATCAGCAGTGGCTAAATTGGTTTATGTTCAGTGATTAGACTTAAAAAAAGAGTACAAAGCTAAATGTGTGCATGTTGTAACAGATGACTTAGAGTAAGATTGTCCATGTTATTTGTAGACACAGGGGTTGTGTGTAATGTCTTTGTAGCTCAAGGGACTTCTAAATAAGTGGAACGTTTGATTGAGAAGCTGGAACTTGTTTCTACAATAATATGCTGATTGGCACTCTTGGGCACTCATTACCTTTTTCATGATTACATTTATGTTGCAAGATTGTTGGGTTTACTGTTTCTTAAAGTGTGATATATATATATATATATATATATATATATATATATAGTTCTCATTAGATGCTTTGGTACTTTTACGAAACAGATCTTAACCATCCCCCAACCCCAATAGGGGGAGGTGTGAACTCTCACCTGAGAAACAATGGGTGGACAGTCTTCTTTTTCGTATGCTTGACATTTGATTGGGATTGGCTGCCTGGTTTTCTAGTCCTTGAACACAATCCTCTTTATTTTTGACAAACTGTAGAAACCATGAAGTTTCCAGGTATGATTCCACTGCACAATTCTCACAGTTGGTACAAACACTTTACCAGCATCCGTCTGTCGTTCTGCATTTATGTATTCCATCCTATCAGCACATTTGTTTTCCTGCACCACTTATACCAAAGCAAAGTCCTTGTATGTGTAAACTTACTTGGTAATAAAACTGATTCTGATCTAGCCTTATAGTTGAGGGTTTATTGAAGTCAGTTTGCTTGGTATTTATGGGTGTTGGTCAGGACTTTTGTTCCCACGTATGCTTTTCACCTGTATACTGAGTTGTTTCTGCATATCTGTGTATCATAGTCTGACTTTGTTTCTTGGCCCTTCAAGTTTTGACCTGGTTTGGTTTGGTCTTACATCTATGACACTTCACAGCCCCCCTTCCCCCCATTCTAACCATCCAAAGTTCCTCTGTGGCTTCGGCTGATATTGATGACTATTGGGAATTGTATCGTATTGTTTAAAATGATTCAATTCTATTTTGCTTTCGTTGATTCCCTTATTATATGTCTTAGCTGTATTTTTTGGAGTTGTGTTCAAAACTAGTGTTTGAAATTGTATTCTGATGAATACCACAACTATCTGAAGGATGGACTCTAGCCCAAGTTTGGGAGGAATAGGATTGCATTTCACTGCGCTGAAATGTTTATAATGGCAGGCCGAGCCATTGCTGTAATGCCTATGTTGTTTGTATACATGGCTATCAACTCTGCCTCCAATTACCATGCACATGCAAGTTGCCTGCAAAGTGTTTACAAACGTTGCAATATTTCTCAGTGGGGGTCTGCACAGCACTCTGCAGGTCATGCAAGTTAATCAAAGGTCTCAAACCTTCAATGCTCATCCATTCATTTGCAGAATTGCCAAGCCTCCCTTGACCGCCTCTGAAGAGCGCTAGACAGCAGCATTCCTCATTCCTGAGGTCATCCTCCTTTCCTCCATCTCCTCACCACCGCTATCCACGGCCACAGCAGTCAGAGTTTAGGGATAGATGGTAGAACAGTCTTGTCAGATTGAAACTGTTTCCATACAAAGGGTAATTCTGAAAGAGTTTTAGGTTGTTTTGTAAAGAACCCCATCCTAACTGAAGTTCCAATACTAGAGGAAAATAACCCTTTTGTTCGTTTGTTTGATGCCCTTTTTTTCCTCGTCTCCTGTTGGTTGGCAAATAAAGTGAAACATAAATCATCATACTTATGAGGCGTGAGATAAAAAGAGCTTAACTTAATTCTCTTACCTCATGCTGTCAATGAACACTTGAACTGTGTTTGACAAACAGTTTTGTTGTTGCTGACAAGTTGTATTGTGCTGAATGGAGTTGATTACCGTAATCTATTGGATAATGAAAAGAAGGTTTATTTGGAACCAATCTAAATGCAGATGGTGTTTTTATAGGCCTTACATAATCTAATCTATTGCCACTTTAAATGTTGGGATGCGCTGCAGTGTTACATGATCAACATTGTTATTCAATTGTGTTTTTGGTCGACCCAGCAATATGATGGGGTCTATTTAAACTATTTTTAACGACTAATCCATTAGTTAGTAATAGAAATACTTGGTTTGCAGCATTTGCAGTTAACTGCAAGGTGAAAATGAATTCCTGCATTGCTGCCTTAAGTGGATCTATTGATTATGTACTTATGAATGCAGCATTGGGATTTGCTATAACTACTTTCAAAATTAGCTATCACAGAAAAGGTGACAGAATGCCTTCCCAACATTAGCGCCGCTCCTTTCATTATGCTGTCCGAGCCTACATAATATTTTCCATTCTGAAAAACATATTTTTATATTGATTGTGAAATGTTTTTTTGGTGTGTAATAGTCCAATGAATATAAAATACTCATACATACTGTCCAAACAAATGTATCCCGTTTGCTGTTGTATTTGTTGCTCTTCTTGTGTCTTTGGATTTGCAGCTTACTTTGATGTGCTCCATCTGAGTCACCTTTTTTTTTTTTTAAACCTTCTAAGATATTAATTGTAATTGCATCATTGCCTTTGCCTGTGGGTCAGTTGGGCAAGACAGTAATGACGGTCGGGTTTGTGAACGATGAAGGAAGGCGCGAGCTGAGCCATGTAGGTTACAAAAGGAGATAGAAGCTTGCACAGATCCTCTGCCCACAAATGTTAATTCTGGCAGGTTATTACACAGATATTTGTCTTTCTGTCTCCCAGACTCATATAGGCTCTGAACAAAACCTAAAAAAAGAAACCTAAACTGAATATATCTATATGTGACAATCATAGTCAAGTGTATTGTTCACCCCACTAGGTTGATACTTAGTCTGTCTTGCACAATACAAAGCATTGACAAACATCCTGTTGGCCACTTCCTGCTTCTTCTCCCTTAACTTCCTGTTTATGCAGTTTTTATTAGTCCCCAAACATAATATTGTTTCACTCTTAACGTGCTGCGTTCAAACCTACCTGGGCAGACTGGTTTGAGTGGTTCTTGTGGTCGTGGAGTTGTGTTGAACAACTGAACCAGACAGTCTTTGTTAGGCAATAGCCAACATGGTCCTATTGTCTGCCTGCCATATCATAATCTCCCTCTATTGTTAGCAGGCATTTATGTTTGATGTGGTCTCCTCCCCTGGCTGAGGTAGGCAGTCTATTCATGACTATCCCTTCCTACCTTTCCTTTTTTTAAATTCTCCTTCTCTCTTATCTTGTTAGTCAAGTTTCAAGCTGTAAGGAGAGTAAGGTTTCAAGCCTGTCTGTAAGCTGAGTTATATCATCTTACCGAGATACATAAAAGCCCTAAAAGGCTTCCCAAAATAGACATTTAAAAGAAATACGCATTGAAGTAGCAGGCACATTATGTTGTGTTATTGTTTGTTCATTTTTCTTATTCAATAATTCACGATAATGATGATCCATAGTAAGTTTACATTGGAGAAAGTCAAGATTAATCCACCCAACTTTACTATTTGGTTCTGTGCGTATCATCTGCTTTGTAAACAATACATTTTGTATTTAGCTTGGTCCCATTATCTTTACCATCCTGTCAATTAAAATGACACATCTGTACTGGCAGGAGCCTCTTGCTGGGTAAAGAATGTGACATTTTATACTGGTTTAGTTTATATACCTGCTCCAAGTGCACCATGTCTGCCACAAGCAGGCCGTTTGCTGCCAATGATGATGAATCTTGTATAAGAGGCTCTGCCTGTGCGTGTCGTTTAGTAGCAGTGCTCTACATGTGTGCATCAGGGTAATAACCGCCTTCCTGGTTCCCAATCTTGTAAACATAGCCTGGAAAAGCTAGCGTAGCACTTTCTCTGTTCTGCTGCTCAAAAGAACATGTTTGGACTGCTTCTGTGGTCCCTGCTGTTAAAAGTCCTAGCTGAAGGAATGTGTCTAAATGGCAAATGCTTTGAGAATGTGAGAGTGTATCAAAGAGGGGTGGGGGCACATTAGCTCTAAGTGTTCACAGATGTTAGTGAAAGTTCATCTGCTCTGTACAGTCTGTGGAAAGATATTTTCCTGGAAAGCCTTAAGCCACCGGAAGTGTGAGCCGCCATGCTTCCTTCTTGCCTTGTTTACTTGCGAGCTTGTGGCCTTGAGCAATGCAGCCTGTCTTGGAATGAAAAGGTCCAAAATAAATGAAGCCTCCCCACGATAGCATTGTCTCTATACATGCAGATTAGAAATGTCTTTCTTTGTGGTAGGAGTCTGAATTGTTGAGTGGTTTCCCAGTGATGAAGTGTCACAGTCATGTGTAGCTTTACCCTTTTGTAAGGGTCATCACATGGTATGTTGCCACTGAAAATAATTACTGGGTGTGTCTTTGTGGAGCAGCTGCTTTTGTCCAGTAGCCCCGTGTCTCCAGTAAGCCTGGCAGGCACGCAGGCAGGCATGTGGTGACCTTGGCAAGGCCATGTTGAATTGAAATGTAAACCAACTATTTCGTAATAACCAAGGGTCTGCCAAGTCACACCCTCTTTCCTCGCTTCCCTTTCGGACTGCTTGGCTTTGAAACAGACAGACAGCCGTAAACATAACGAATGTTGGCCCCTCCCTTCCTCAGGGGCAGCTGGGTAATAACACAAATGTCACCCCTGATACCAGCAAATGTGTTATTAGTTTTTTAGACCCTGGTTGCTGTTTTTGTGCATGGTCAATGTGTTATTAATTTGTTTGTTTTGTTGGTAGGAAAAAAAGGCAATGGTCTTGTTTATAAAGTTGTTTTGTTTTTATTGAAAAGATGCTATGACTTAGCAAAATTATTATAATTTACGTGCATATCCTTTTTATATTCATAGCAAGACAGAGATAGAGCAAACTTTTACTCAAAACAATGAACAATTATTGAATTTGTAGGTTTGGGTATAACACTTATTACATAAAAATATTCACCCTTCACAAGGGTAATCATTTGAATGTGTTTGTGTGTGCTTGAATGAATGTGTCTTTAAGTGCAGGCAAACATGTGTGTCTATGCAGCCCATAAAATGAATTCTGCTTCTCTCCTCTCCCTGTCGTTACAGAGAAACCAGGTCCAGAGCGGAAGCGCATTAAAAAGGAGCCCACCAACACCCGGAAGGCGGGCTTGCCGTTTGGAATGGGGATGCCAGGGATCCGGGCCGGGTACCCCCTCTCTGAGCGGCAGCAGGTGGCCTTGCTCATGCAAATGACAGCTGAGGAGTCCGTCAACAGTCCAGGTGCGTGCTTATCATGGAGGCCACGTCTTCTGTGGATGTGTGGCAGACAAGAAAAGGGGGGACGAGGGGAGCTTTTTAGACAGTGTTTGTGTTTGTGAGAGAGCAATGATGTTGACCTTTAATAGAGAGAGGTTGATTGGTTTTTGTTTATCAATTAGATGTTGTCTGCTATTTAGTTTGTTTTGTTTTTGCCACATCGTAATCATATCCTGGCTCTGGAGCAGACCTTCCGCTTTTATTTAAAGCTAGTTATACAAACGTATTCACATGGATTCTCATTACATCTGTTATGTCAGTAATAAAGTGGTTGTTTAGTTTTAGCAGCTGTATCTGTTACATATTCGTTCATCTCCATCAGTGAAATCTTTTTTTTAGTACAACATGGGGCCGCTAAGGAAATGAAACTCTCCTGTTGGTATTGCTTTAATCTGGAACTAATAGTGCAATCTCAGCCTCTGAGTCAAATCACAGCAGACTTCCAAATGCAAAAGGCCTGCAACCATTTAGCTTTTGTTTATTTGTTATCCAATATCCTTTCTGCTGTTAGATGATTATTCATAATATTTACTTCCTCCTAAAGTCTTCGCAGGTCGTATATTTGTTATTGGTAGACAAATCATTTTGCCGTTAAAGTATTGGATACATAAAATATCATTATTATTGCAACATTGTACTTCTTCCTAAAATTAGGTCAGAAAGAAACGATGCATAGCTAGTTTTATTTGTGTCATTTCGTTGTTATATACCTGAAGTCATGGGCTGAGAGTAAGTGAGTGTGTTTCAAATATACTTTCTAACTAGAGCTGTGCGAACTCAATAATGTGAATGCAATTAAGGCTTTGGTTTAATCTTGTAAATGTGATCAAAAAAGCTCATGTGAAGTAAGACCAAGTACTCTTCTGCTGATTGCTAGATCAAGGTTGCCCCCTTCTGGTTGTAAGCAGTACAAATAAACTGTTATTTATATTAGCAGTGGCAGTAGTAGACCAAAAATAATTAATAATAATAATAGCAAATTCTTATTCCACAAGATGCCGTTCAAGTGTTGAAATGTGTGTCCATCTCCTACCCACAGACACAACACCAAAGCATCAGTCACAGTCCAATATGGGTCAGAAGGGAACGCCAAACTCTGCATCTAAAACCAAAGACAAAGTGAATAAACGTAATGAGAGAGGAGAGACTCGGCTGCACAGATCAGCAATACGGGGAGAGACACGCCGCATAAAGGAGCTCATCAGCGAGGGAGCTGATGTGAATGTAAAAGACTTTGCAGGTGAGAGGCTCTTTTAATACACTGTCTTATTTATTAATATGTGTATATATTCACTCATATGGTAAAAACACCTCTAACACAGTCATTCGTCTTGTGTTTAGGCTGGACTGCATTGCATGAGGCGTGCAACAGGGGCTATTATGATGTGGCCAAGCAGCTGCTGGCAGCCGGAGCAGAGGTCAACACCAAGGGTCTGGATGATGACACCCCTCTACATGATGCGTCCAACAATGGACATTTCAAGGTAAAATCAAATGCAAAGCCTATTAAAGCAGTACTCGTGCAGTCAACTTTATTATCCCATTAAAACGCTGGTAGAGAAACAGTTCCCAGTCTATCTTTTTAAATCACTACCGTGACTGTCAATCAAGCTCATTCATGATGCTAGTTTTACATTAATTGTTATAATTAACATAATTTGACCTTTTGAATTTAGGAATATCACACGTTTATTTGCAATTTATATTACCGTAATCAAATGTTTTCTTTTATTGGTTTCAGGTGGTTAAGCTACTTCTACGGTATGGAGGTGACCCACGTCAAAGCAACAGGAGAGGGGAAACCGCATTGAAAGTTGCCAACTCTCCAACTATGCTGAATCTGTTGCTGGGGAAAGGCACGTACACCTCAAGTGAGGAAAGCTCGTCAGGTATGTATGATTAAATCTAAAAATGAATATGTTTATGGAGCAGTTGCAAATCCGATTGTGTATTGATTGTGCCCTGTCTTTCTACTTTTTACAGAATCTTCAGAAGAGGAAGACGCCCCGTCATTTGCCCCATCCAGCTCTGTCGATGGCAATAACACGGACTCAGAGTTTGAGAAGTTGAAATTGAAAGGAAAAAACGTTGACGCTGCTAAATGCGCTGTCACACCCATCAAAGATGAATACGAATTTGATGAGGATGATGAGGAAGAACGTGTCCCTCCTGTGGATGATAAGCACCTCTTGAAAAAAGAGTTCCGTAAGGAACCGGTCCCGACTAAGGCCAACAGCGTAGCCGCCATACCCAAGAATGAGGTCAAAACCTATTCCAAAAGCAACTCAGTTACACCAAAGAAAACTGTAAGGCGGATCGTCTCTGACAGTAACAGTTCAGACGAGGAGGATAGGACGAGTTTCACGCCCACGCCTACGCCACGGCAACAAGTCACGCAAACAAACACCAAGACTAGAGACTCTGGCAACATGAGCTCTAAACAACAAAAAGACAAAAACAAAGTCAAAAAGAAACGGAAGAAGGAGAGCAAAAATAATGTCAGTAAAGAAGTCAGGGTCGGAAAAGTCAATGACAAATTCTGTACATCTGACTCTGATTGTGCAGATATGGAGAGTGAGGATGATAAGGGTTCAAACAAGGACTCTTCTGCAACGAGCTTTAAAGACTCCCCCGGCTTTAACGCTTCCTCCTCCTCTTCACATGGAAACTCGAACTCTCAGAAACAAGCGCCATCATTAGCAGAACAGCATCCAAAGCAGTGGCGGACAGATGGCTGGAAGACTGTGTCGTCTCCTACATGGTCCGATGTGAGTTCTCTCTCAGATTCAGTCAGAACAAGGCTCTCCAGTGAGTCTGATTACTCTTCTGCTGATTCTAGTGTAGAATCAATAAAACAAGTCAAAAGGAAAGCGCAGGAGAACAAAAAGAAGAATAACAATGTGCACAGTAGCACGGTAGACAAGAAGAATACTGAGCTCTACAAAAACTCTAATGCGGACAGTGCGGCCTCCAAAACCGATGTCGATGGCAAAGTGCTGAAAAAGCATAAAGTAAAGCACAAGCACAAAGCTAAGGAAAAGGACAAAGCTCCTAGTCTAGTGCTTAATCAAGACATGAATGAGAAATTTGTCAAGAGCTATTCTTTTGATTTTGATGATTCAAGGCAGAAGTCCCTAATTGTTGAGTCAGAATCGCCAGCTGAGAGCAAGGTCAAGTTATCCAAACACGAAAAGGACCACTCCAAAAAGGAAGATAGGCTTTCGAAAATTAAGTCAGAGGATAAAGATTGGTCTTCTGGAAAAGATGTGCACAGAACAGTAAAAGAGGAGAAAAATAAGAAAGCAAAGGACTCCACAAAGGACAAGACAAATAAGGAGGAGAGGGAGAAGCCTGTCAAACCTGACAAGGAGAGAAATGTCAAGGAGAAGGAGAAGCCCAAGGAGGATAAACAAAAGGCTCACAAGGAGGAGAAGAAGAAGAAGTCCAAGGAAAAGTCCTCCTCAAAGGCAGAGAGGAAAGGTGAGCCAAAAGAGGAAAAACATCTAAAGGTGGACAAGGAGAAAAACACCAAGGAGGAGAAGGAGAAATGTAAAAAAGACAAAGCACCGAAAGAAGAGCCAGAGTATGAAGGCTTTGACGTTAACAACCGTTTTCTCAACTTGGACGACACGAAGCTGAGTGCTTCAGATGACCATCATGACAGATGGGGCTCCGAGATGTCCTCTGATTCCTCCCTATACTTAGATGACAGCTGGGATGCTCCCGTCAAAGAATACAAGGAATACAAAGCCAACAACGCAGTTAAACTAATTGTGGAGACTGTTAAGGAAGAGACGAGAAGAAAAGAAAACAAAGTCAAGGACAAGAAATCCGATCACAATGACAAAAGATCAGAGAAAGAAACCACTTCTAAGAAGAAAGAGAAAGACTCAGAAAAGACAAATGAAAAGAAAAAAGACTGGTCAGAAAAACAAAAGTTAAATTCTAGTCACTCGGTTGAAAAAGAGAAGAAGCGGAAGGAGTCCACAGAGACTGTCAAGGACAAAAAAGACAAAGACTCTCTAGAGACCAGTCGAGACCGTAAAGACTCATATGACTTGGCAAAGGAGAGAAAGGACATTAAAATCAAGCAGGAATCTATTAGGGATGAATATGGCAATGATACCTTCTTCAAAGAAGTTGAGGCTGTCGGTAAATCGTGTGACGTCCGAGAAAGAAACCATTCTGGAAAGGAGAAAGAAAAGAAGGGCGATGGAATCGAAAAGCGCGAAAAGACAAAAGCTGACAAGCACAAAGACAAAACAAAAGACAGAGGAGCTGATCAGGAAAAGGAGAAGAGTGAGAAAATCTCTGTAGAAAAAACTGTCAAGGAAAAGGACTCAGACCGGGGCACCAAAGACAAGAAGGAAGGAGTTAAAGACAAACACAAGGAGTCTCATGGCAAAGACAAAGATCGAAAGATGTCTTTAGAACAGACAAAGGACAAGAAAGAGAAGGCCTCTCAAGACAAACATGCTGATAGGGAGAAGGAGTTCTTAGAGGTTAAGAAAGAGGAAAGAAAACCTGAGAAAACCCGGGAAAAAGCTTGGTACAAGATAGCTGACATCTTCACGGACGAAAGTGATGATGAGGAGGAGGACAGCTACACTGGTTCTGTGGCCCTTGTGCCTGACCCCATCAGAAAAGACTCAACACCTGATCAGGATGAACCGGATCTCTTGCCTTCAGAAAAAATGAGAAAATCATCCATAGAAGCTAAACACAACACAGAAAAGACAAAAGATAAGGAACACAAAGAAAAGAAGAAAGAAAAGGCCACATTTGACACAGGCAAAGAAAGAAAAGGCTCATTAGAGAAACACAACAAAGACAAGAAAGATTGTGTAGAGATCAAACATAAGGAGAGAAAAGACAGAAGTTCAGTGGACTCCAACCAAGAGAAGAAAAATAAGCAGAAGCTTCTGGACAAAAGGGACACCAGTGAGGAAAAGACAAAGACCAAATATAAAGACAAGCTGGAGCATACGAAGGAAAGGAAGCCCTCAAAGAGCAGCGGTGAGAATGAGAAGTCCCTGTTAGAGAAACTGGAGGAGGAAGCTATGAATGACTACAAGGAGGACTCTAATGACAAACACAGTGAAATCTCCTCAGATAGTTTCACTGACCGAGGTCATGAGCCAGTCCTTGCCACTTACTATGACGCCATCAGCCTCACGGATGTGTCCGAGGACAGGAGAGACTCTCTGTCCATATCTACACCACAGGACAAGTTTAGAGAGAAAGAAAGACATCGACATTCCTCTTCTTCTTCGTCCAAGAAAAGCCACGACAAGGAGAAAGACAAGATCAAGAAGGACAAAGGAGACAAACGTGACAAGACAGAGGAGATCAGAGAGTCCTTCAACCGCAGGGAGAGTCTACCTTTTGAGAAAGAGCCCATGCCTCTTGAAGCAGACCCTTACACTTTTCCATATGGAAGTAAGGGAGACGGTGAAGATGACTTTGATAAAACATTGGAGTTTGAAAAAGAGATGTCCAAAAAGGACAAAGACAAAACAACTGCTGTCATTAGTGACAGGACAAAGGACAAAAAGAAAAAGGAGAAACATAAAGAAAAGGTAAAGGAGGACAAGACTAAGTACATTGATGGCTCTGTGTCTTTGAAGCACTCCAAAGAGGATGTGAAGGCAGGGGTAAAAGACAGTCCACAGGTCACCGTGCTAAAAGAAAGGACAAAAGAAGAGAGTCCAAAATGTGACGGCAAAAAAGACAGGAGTCGGGATACATTGGAGAAAGACACCAGAATGGACCACTGTAAATTGAAGACTAAGGATGAAAATGAAAAGCTCCCGCAGTCCAAAGAAACACTGAGGAAAGATAATCGCCCCCGTGAGAAGCTGTTGGTGGATGGGGATTACCAAATGACCAGCTTTGGTCAGATGTTGAGTCTAAAAGACCAGGAGATTGAAGAGCGCCACAAGAGACATAAAGAAAGGATGAAGCAGATGGAGAAACTCAGACCCAAGTCAGGGGACCCTAAACTCAAGGACAAGACCAAGTCCACAGAGGAAGTACGGAAAAACCGCACTGAGCTCTCATCAAAGAAGTCCAACAGTGTGGAGTCTGGTCTTAAAGAGAAGAAGCTGAAGGATGTGGGTGTCCCGGCCCAAACGATGTCCCCAAGCAGGAAGTTCCAGCCTACTGAATGTCCAAACTCAAAGGACTGGCTGACTGATCCCCAAACGAAGGAGGAGAACCTTCCAGCTTCTCCCAGGTCAGATCAAAACAGGCCAACTGGTGTTCCCACACCAACATCTGTCATCTCCTGCCCCAGCTTTGAGGAAGTAATGCAGACTCCACGCACGCCATCATGTAGTGCAGAGGATTACCCTGACATCATGTTGGATGGGCTAGACTGCCAGAACTCCTCAGCTATGACTATGTCAATGAATGCCTGCTCTCCTTCCTTCTTTGAAAGGTATTTACAATTCTGCAGAATGACTGTTTTTGTCATTTTAACTCTAGCTATCTGATGAAAGTGAAATATATTCTAATGTTGTGTTTTATCTTTTGTCCACCCAGCAGGTACTCTAACTCCCAGAGTTTCCAGGAGGGCACATGTCCAACCCCTGCGAAGAACCTCCAGCTGCCACTTGTCAGCCGCTCTGCATCCTCTGACGTCCGCAGGCCTCTCGAGGATGAGTTCAAGGCTGAGGCTGACAAGTTCCTTCGGCAGGAGAGTGATCCAGCAGCTGACTTTGATCCGTCATCTTCCTCTCAAACTCTAGATGACAAATCTGCAACCGTAGATGGACTGGATTGCATGCCATCTCCTTACTTTTCCCCAATTAGGATGATGTCCCCTGAGCAGGAGCCAGCTCTTCAAACGTTAGATGTGGAAGCACCAACTCTTTCTGGCACAGAGGGCAATGAACACTTTCCTGACAGTGTGTACAACAGTTTCTTGCCCAAACCCTCCACACCAGTTCACAGGCCGGACCCCCAGGAGCCCTGCTTCGACATTGCTGCACCACCAACCCCAGCTCCTGCTGCATTGCCGCCCCTGGACATCGATGACATCTCTGAACCTCACCACAGTGAGCCTAACCTGGTCCTGTCAGATCTTCCCCCTGTCACCGAAGAACAGGAGGAGGAGGAGGAGGGGGAGGGGGAGGAGGAGGAGGAAGATGAGGAGGAGGAGGAGGATGAAGAAGAAGAAGAAGAAGAAGAGGAGGACTTTGAGGATGAAGGTGATCTGGATGACAGAGCTGATTTAGAGCCCTCTGCAGTGGATGAGCCAGAGCCAATAAGGAAGCCTTGTGCCTTCTCCTCTCCAGTTCAGGACCCTCTCAGGAAGAGCTGGCCTGCACTGTCTCCAGAGCAGCAAGAACTGCAGCCCTCCCCCATACACGCTGCACCCAACCATGGAGAGAACTGTTTTGATCACAGCATGGGTTGGAATGCTGAAATGGACCTCAAATCTCCCCACAGGACATATGGGGAGATTGAGGCTGCTGTCTCCAAAATAACCAGTCCTTACCATTCTGACAGCGAGATGCAACACCTGTCTGGACTCCCCTCTGTCACTCCCCCCTATGCTACCTGGAATAGGTGGCACAAAGAGGACCAAGAGGACCAAGAGGACGCAGAAGACCCAGAAGACCCAGAAGACCCAGAGCACCCAGAAGACCCAGAGGTCCGAGAGGTCCCAGAGGTCCCAGAGGACCCAGAGGACTTAGAGGACTTAGAGGACTTTGATGAACAGAAGGAAGCTGTGGCTGACATCCCTTCTCCAGAGATGCCTGACACAGCTACTGATGAGGAAAACAGCTTTTTAAACACCTCATCATCCTCCAATCGGCTGGAGTCTTTCTTCCAGGACTGTAACAAGCCTAGTATAGAGGAAAGTCACGAGATGGAGCCTGTATCAACTGAGTCAACCTGTGAAGAACCAGTGAGCAGACAGACTACGCTCAGCTTCAGTGCTGCCACTGAAAGCCTCATGGCTCCAGTTGTTGCCCCTGAGCCTGTGGTGCCCTGGGCAGACCCTTTCTCTGCGGTTGCAGACGAACTGGATGACCTGGGACCATTTTCCTTGCCTGACTTGCCTCTACCAGACAAGTCGGAAGAAGCAGAGAGAGAATCCAGAGACCCTGAACCATCCGACCACAACAAGATTGCGACGAGCCACATAAGACATACTAGTACAGAAAGAGATGACCCTGACATAATGGTGGTTGACTTACCTAACCTTGCTAAGAGTTCATGCCCTGCTGTAGACCTAGAGTTAGCAGAACCTACAGGACAAGATTTGGTTGAACCCTCGGTACATGCCAACTTCCAGCAAGAGTTGCACCCCGAGTCTCAGAGTGTTTTTGTCAACAACTCTCTATCTCTGACACAGCCACAGGGCAGCATGTTAGAAGGGAAAGAACCGTATGGAGTGCCTGATGAATCCGATGAACCCAGTATGTTGTATTCGTCAGTGAAATCGGATGCCAGTCAGCAACATCACATCCAGATCCACTCCCTCACTGAGTCGTTGCAGTTGCCCATGGATACAGTCTCCGCTCTCCAGTCAGAGGTGAGACAGGATGAGATGCCTGAGCCCAAAGCAGAATCTGTGTCATGCAGTCCTCTTCCTCAGCTCCCAGTGGCAGTCACCCTCTCCAGCACAGTGGAACTAACAGACATTCAGGAGACCAAGCTAACGCCGGTAACCCTGACCAACGTGTCCACCACTGTAGATACTCCCAAGAAGGTGGATGAAATCCCTCAAAGAATAACCCGCAATCGCGCCAAGAACAATCCCTCTGCTGCTGCTGTTCTCCCTCCTACCTCCAGCATAATAACCTCATCTGCCACTGCAACCCCTGCAACAATCAGTCCAACAGTGACCATAAACCTGACGCTACCGCCCACCTCTGCCTCTTCTTTCCCAGCTCTGAAGAAAGACAAAGAGTCTGTGCTGACTGTCACCTCTGCTCCAACTAATACAACCCAAGCATTGTCTGTACCTACTTCTGTGACAACTCCTGCATCAGTGGTTATCAGTAAGACGACAAAAGGTCGTTCTCTTCCAGTGGAAGACGATGAAACTCAGACCCAGCACCCAAGGAAGAGGAGGTTTCCTCGTTCTTCTGGTCCACAGGTGCAGGTCCAGTTGGTAAACACGACCATGCAGCAGACCAGGGAAATGATTCAACAGACGTTGGCCGTAGTAGTCAACGCCATAAAGCTTGACGTTATCGAGCCCTACCACAGTGATCGCTCCAACCCTTACTTTGAGTACCTGCAGATCAGGAAAAAGATTGAGGAGAAGAGGAAGATTCTGTGCTACATCACCCCACAAGCCCCGCAGTGTTATGCTGAATATGTGACGTACACCGGCTCCTACCTGCTGGATGGCAAGCCCCTCAGCAAGCTTCACATCCCTGTGGTGAGTTATCGTGTATTTCCCCTTTTCCCAAAGCTACTTTTTGACATCAGTAACAAAATTCAAAAGACATATTTGGCAAACTGAAATGTTCAAAGCTTGTTTTTTACTGTTTGCTGTAATAGATGTCAGTAATTTGATATTAATGTGATATGTATGCTCTCCAGATTGCCCCACCGCCATCGCTGTCAGAACCTCTGAAGGAGCTCTTCAGACAACAGGAAGCAGTGAGAGGGAAGCTCAGGTTGCAGCATAGCATAGAGCGGGTAAGGAATAAATGTTCTACACTCTCTATCCTGAATTTGCTCATTTCTCACTCCTTGTTATACATACATCAACACAATTATGTACACTGAAGAACATTTACTAGAAATTCAAGAGAAATCTGCATACACCTTACTCCTTGGTTGGGCCAGAGGGAATGCAGATACTGATCTATGTAATCTCTCACTCATTAGGAGACAACCATTTATGTGACATATGTAGCAGTTTTTTAATCCATAAATATGTAACCCACTCACCAGCCCACTGATTAATATATGAATATTATTACACTTCAAGTATTTATATTCTTTCTGTCTTTGCTTGCTGTGCACAGGAGAAGCTGATTGTTTCGTGTGAGCAGGAGGTGCTAAGGGTCCACTGCCGAGCAGCCAGGACAATAGCCAATCAGGTTGTGCCCTTCAGCGCCTGCACCATGCTGTTGGACTCTGAAGTATACAATATGCCATCAGATACCTTGGTAGGAAGATATTCAAATATACACCTCAAGTTAAATATAACCATTTTTATTATAGATGGCAAATCATAACTAAAATCATTAATTAACTTGACTACTTGATGTTTGTTTTCAGGGTGATGAGAACAAATCTGTGAGAGATCGCTTCAACGCTCGTCAGTTCATTTCCTGGATCCAAGATGTGGATGATAAATATGACCGCATGAAGGTACATTTCAGCACTCCACTGTGATTTTAAACAGCTCAGTTAAAAGTATTGAATCGTACCATAATGTCGTGTCTTTTTTTAATTTTTCCTTTCCCAGACGTGTCTGTTGATGCGGCAACAGCACGAGGCAGCCGCCCTGAACGCAGTGCAAAGGATGGAGTGGCAGTTGAAGGTCCAGGAGCTGGACCCAGCGGTGCACAAGTCCCTCTGTGTCAACGAAGTGCCGTCCTTCTACGTGCCAATGGTCGATGTTAACGACGACTTTGTCCTGCTGCCTGCATGACACACCTCTACTCACAGATTAAAAGCAAACTTTGTCTGAATACTCCTCTCAAAGAGACTTCGTTGAACAGAACGAATGGAAAGGGCTAGTAAGTTTGAAAGAGGATTTAGACAGGAAAAAATTATATTCTATAGAAAAAGAGTAAAGCTGAAAAACTTGCTCTTGATTCCCTTCCGTGAAGAAGGAAACATGTTTTTACTGGGGTAAAGAAAACACACAACTTGCACTTTTATCCTCAAAGTTTTTACGCTTTTGTTTGATCAGAGCGTGAGAAGCAGAAACCGTTTTTGCTTCGAGGCTCTGTCATCGGGACACGACTCCTCAGTGCTCAGTTTTGGTGAGAGGGGGGATAGAGATATATTTTCTGCATTCTTTTTTGGTCCCTGCTTCAATAGCCCCACCACTGGGAGGAGGTGTCGGAGAGGAGCTCTCCCAACAGCGTGGTGCCTGTCCTGAGGGAGAACTGAGGAGAAGCCTCCCCTGTTGATCCAGGGCTCCTGATGGGACACGAGAACTAGACCTGAGTCCGGCGCTGACCCCCGTGAAGTCATGGTGCATCGTGTGGATCCCTGATATAAGACAGCTGGGGTGGACAGACCAGGGAAGATGTGGCCTGCTGCTGATGGTTTTTGGGGCGATAAGAGCATATACCCAGAGGGAGCCCTCTTCCCACACGGCACATGGCCCGCATCACAGCGGGGCCACAGAGCCTGCAGGAGGCTGGGTACCGCAGAGGGAGATGTGTCAGGGCCCAGTGTCTGAGAAGAAGAGACTGACCCTGCAGCCTCTCAGCCGGGCTACTCAGAGGAGGACAGGCATGGCTCTCTGAGGACAGACCGGAGTGTTCCTCAGCCATCCTGCTTGTTCCAAAACAAACACATCAGACCGCCCATGGACTGCAAAAAACACCACAGGACAACCAGAAGAAACAAACATAACGAATGTTGAGATTCAAAGAGACTATTGAGAAATTGTGCTTTGACAGGAGGAGAGAAATATTGTTTTTGTCTATTTCTTTACTTGGGCATTTCATTGTTTCTGAGGAAGTGACTTGAAACACTACAGAGCCAATATTAGTTTAATGGAAAAAAAACAAAAAAAATTGAAAAAAATGTTGTATTCAGTAAATTATGTACAGTTTTTATATTCGTTAACCAATGTATTCTTGCTGCCTTCTAGATAATTTATTTTGCCACACATTACTGCACAGTTGTAAATAACCTATGTACTGTATTATCACTCAGTTAAGTGTAAAGAAAAAACATAAAAGAAATAAAAATTATCTTTTTATGTACAGTTCACTTTTGGGCAGCACTTTCCCTCCCCTCATATCCATGGGCCAAAATGTGTACACGGTTCTGTCAGTATTTGAAAGACCCCAGTGCACAGTTGTATGATCCCATCTCTAGATTCAATCCTGGCTTCAGTAGGGAAACCCCCCTGGACCACCACAACCCACAGATAGCTGACAGAGAACATTCTGGATTAAACAAGCCTCCCACAGGCCAACCACCACATAGTCCCTCAGATGTAGCAGAATAGTTGTTGAGGATTTATTTAAAGAATAGACAGAGGATTATTATTCATTGCTTTACTACACAATTATATCTGAAAAAATTCGAACCAAGAAAATGCCTTTTTTCAGTGAAAAAAAATGTACTCATTGTTGGGCAAAATCGCATATATACATACATTTATATATGGGTGGGATGAAAGTGAGCGAGATGACATTAAAGAGCAAAACCCATAATGTTAAGGTAGAATGGTTTCCAATTTAATTTACCTTCTTTTTAATTTACCAAAAGTTGGACTGAAGTCATGAATAAGCATCACAAATAACCATTGTCACTGAAACCAACAGGACGCAGGTCTTTCAGCACTTTGTACGTTTTCTGTTCTCCTAGCTTGTCAGCTTTCACATTGAATAGACTGAAGACAGCCATTGAGAGGTCTTAATCCATACTGACGACACATTGTTTGTCAGTCCGGTTCTTTTTGTCCAAGGACAGCTTTTTTTTGTTGCTGTTCCGAGTGTAGCCACTGGATGGCGTCAGTTTGTCAGACCACTCATCAGTGTAATTGGCTTTGCATCAAACCTTTGGCCTGAATAGGTGTTTTAAAATATATTGACATTTTATTACAGCGTCTAAGGAGATAATTTCCCAAATAGGAATACAATACAACACGTTAAAATAACACTTGGCTTAATCATTGGCTTAATCATTTTTTATCAATGTTTACCTTTAATCCACAAGGGGGTTTTCTCACCAGGGATTTTAAATGTAAAGTTACTTCTTCATATTTGTCTGTTGTTGTATGGCCCAAGCAGACATTTACAGCAATTAAAATCTCAGAATTCAACAAGAAAATGGAAAGACATTAACACAAACTATAGGAAGGGTAATATTGCAAAATGCTGAATAGACCTTTTGTCCTAATTCAGAATCCCAGTTAAAATGTTGATTTGTGATGACTTGCATTGATTCTCTATTTTTAAGTTGGTCATGGTTTGGTAAAGCTTTCCTGACCTACCGAGTAGACTTCCTGTCTGTGTGCGTGAGCTGCTCGTTTATCCTGATGGCAATATTACCTGAAACGTTTTAAGTTATTTACACACTGTCAGTCAGTATAGCTGTGTATGGTATGTCTAGTCAAGTGCAATGGTTGTTGCTATTACACTGTGCAGACAAGGTGGCTAGATGTATAGTCCTGGATATTTTTGAGAGATACACACATCCCGGTTTGGTATACATAGAATTACATATTTGGATACAAATAGCCAGAACGTTGGTTTTTAAACCCCTGTTTGTCATATTTCTTGTTTTTAATTTGTGGTTTGATTCTTTCACAGTTTTGGGGGACAAGGTTTAAGGGTGTCGTTTGTTCACAGAATCCTTGTGTTTTTTTGAGTTCAGTGTATGTAGTTCTGAATGTTGTTGTGTTTATCTTAGGGGTTTTTGTTCCTGTATAAAGCATAAACACCAGTGGCATGTCAATCACGTTGCTTATCGAGCAGAATGTATACCGTTTCTATGCCCTGACCGACCACACCCTCACTATTGTTTACAAGACATAAAGCGGGATTTCCGTTTCATGTGACACCTTTTTTGACGGTTTAAGCCCTGCCTTTGATTTTATTTCTGTAATCAGTCATTTATTTGAACCACGAAGGCTTGAAATGGTGATGATTGACACAACTGACAGGCGATTCCTCCCCCTGTCTGCGGTACACCGCTGCACCGAGCAATAGACTAAACACATCCATCCGCAATGATTCTCCAAAGTGAATATTTAAATAACTAAAAGTGATTTCTGGATAAATTGAATACCAACATAAATCAGTTCTCTAATGCACAGTAGAGCACTTGGCCGTGGTGATAGAGATGCTAGCCTGACCCCACCTCAGTCGGCAACATATTACCTCTACTCTCCTCACATTCACTCATAATGTATATGTTTGATTTGTTATTTGTTTCTTACTGGACGTAAATATACATAATTGCTATTTTTTCATTCTATAGAATCACGATTTCAAGCCTTTTTTTCTAGTTTTTTGTTTGTTCCTTTTTGATTCAAACCCAGACTGTAGCTATTTCTTTGTTCATTTTTTAGAGTGGAAAATGACTAATAAAAATCATGGAGAACTACTCTTTAAATGGTGAGAAATAACCTATTTATTATCTTTTCTTTTTCTTTTTCTGACACCTGTGGTATGTTTTGAGTTGAAGTTGGTCTCCGCTGTGTAAATTTTCCTCCTTGTAATGCGTGAAAGAGACATACTGTACATAGCTCTGTAAATAAAACCTCCCAGGACGTTTTGCACCCTCCTCTTTGTACTAGTCTGAAAAATTGCGTAGAATGTGGGGTTCTAACAGCAACGAGCTGCGTGCGCTTGCTGCAGGTGATTATGATGTAACAATGTAACATTTTTTTATTTGTACAATGTAGTTTATTTGTGTACATATTGTTGGAGCAGCTAAGAGGGGGGAGGGGGGTACACGAGGGGGGTTGTTGATGCTATCGTCAGTGCTGTAACAGAAATCCAGTACTTTCACCTCTAGCTGTTGTTGATTTCCTGCAAAAAAGAAAGAAATAGAAAAAAATAAAAATGTGAGAAACTGAAAATGAGGATGGATGAGAAAAAAAAAAGACTAAAACTGAAAAGTAAAAATTCTAAATTGTTATTTTCTACAGTTGCATGTACAGAGAGCGCGAGAACTGCTGTTGTTCCTCAGAGATTATGTTCGTTAATAAAACTTTGAAATATTACCTGCCGTGCTCTGGTTCTTGATTTTGCGGTTCCGTTGTGTGTCATGATGTAAAAGGCTAAAACCACAAAAGACTATTATCTTGCAAGAAAAAAATAGGTGACAATAAAAAGTATATCCTTTTTTCAAAATGAATCTAACTAATAACATTCATGTTATGACCAACCAAGTTGCTATGGTTCTCCAAGAGACAGGTTTCTATTGATTGCAGGATGAGGTATTTTCAGTGTTTCACAATCCGTTTGAAATGCCTTCTCTGTCAGGACCGCACTATTTGTTTACACTTTACAGCTTCTACATATATGTCGGAGTTCAGTCTCTCCCCCTTAAGGTCTTTCAAACAAATCAGATTTATGTTCTTTTTTATACTTGTCTGGCTTTATTTAAACATCTCTGTGTGTCTTTTATCTTTGCAATTACATCACTCGTTGGAGTCCTGTCACCTATCAGATCACACCATTCTTACCGATATTCTGGACATTATCATGGGCAGCGTATACATTTTGGTTATTACAAAAATAATCAAGTTATAGTATGTCCTGGTTCCCACAGGTCCTTGAAATCAGGGCAATGAAACCTTTTATAAGTAGACATGGCTCCTTGAATATATACAGTGGAGGAAATAAGTATTTGAATCCTTGCCGATTTGATAAGTTTACCCACTTACAAATAAATTAACAGTGTATCATTTTAATGGTAGGTTTATTTTACTAATGAGAGACAGAATATCAAAAAGATAATCCATAAATTGACATTATATAAAAGATAAAAATCGATTTGCATTTAACTGTGGGAAATAAGTATGTGATCCCCTGGCAGAACATGTATTAGTACTTGGTGGAGAAACCCTTGTTGGACAGCAGAGGTCAGAGGTCAATTCTTATCTTTTATATAATGTCAACTTCTGGATTTTCTTTTTGATATTATTATTCTCACTGTTAAAATAAACCTACCATTTAAATTATAGACTGTTAATTGCTTTGTAAGTGGGCAAACTTACAACATCTGCAAGGGATCAAATACTTATTTCCTCCACTGTATATTTAGTGAAAGAATTGTAATTGAAGTTATTTTACTTAGTTTTTCAATTTGTAATTACTTCAACTTGCACTACATATGGTTTTTCAGTGCTAAGTCAAAGTTTAGAGGGCAAGAGATTGCTGTTGGTAAGCTTTTGTAAATCTCCCTGCCATTCGCTTTGCATCAATATGAAAGTACTTCAGGATTTGAAACAAGTAGAAGTTAAGCAAAATAAACATCTGTCAGCAGACGTACACTTTTAACTTTTCCCTTTATAATTACAATTCAAATTGTTGTGACATTAGAAAACAATTTATCCTAACATGTGAAATATAATGTAGTTCAAATGTAAAAGGTGCACTCAACAGATTTTACCCATTAATCTCACGCAGCACTACTTAGTCTGTGAAAGCAGTTTTATAACACCTTACAGTAAATGGCCTTGGTGGTAACAGTTTGTAAAACATGTTGACTAACGATATTAAATTGTCAACAGAAAGTCTGCAATGGGACTAATCTTATTATTCCTCAATAGCTTACATTTTAACCATTGATTTATTTTGTCTGTCACAAAAATATTTCAGCTTTATAGAAATCTATACTAAACAATACTAAATCTTTTGACCAAACCTGGGACGGGGAAAAGTTCATATTTTTCCCAATGGAAATTGAATTATAAAAGATTTGAAGCTATTAACTATAGTACCACTTGGCCCAGGATCGGCTGCCCAAACCGCAAGCTGTCAAGACATTAACAGCGTCCCCTCAATCACCTACTCTGAGTCACATGGAGGAACGAAAAACATGATGATTAGCAACATATGTATGCTAACTTTAGCTGTGAGTGTGCTAACTTTAGTGTTAGCTGTGACTCAGGGGCCACCCTTCAGTGAGCCACTAAAGCATCAGGAGTCTCATAGGTCGAGCCCCAAGTGCCCCGCCCTCTTTCTCCCCGAGCGCTTCTTCAACTTCTACTGGCTGCGGCACGCGCGTGTAGAGCTTGCGCACTCAATTAATGCGCCATGGCCAGAGAAACGACTGTCACCGTAAACACTCTTCCTTCAATGGATTTTGAGACAAGGATTTTCCCTCACATCGGCGGCTATGGACGCTACAACCGACTCGTGGTGCTTTTCAGCTGGTTCCCCAACTTTGCGGTCATGCTGAATCTTTTTTGCGACGTCTTTTTCACTCATATCCCGGAATCGTATCACTGCAAACCCGACCCGCAGCTTCTGCCCTCCACTTTCCTCCCCAGCAACTTCTCCAGACAGGGCTACCTGAACCTCACCATCCCCTGGGTGAACGGCAGCGGCCTCAGCCACTGTGAACTCTTCAAGTACCCATCAAATACCTCGGACTTCTCCGAAAAGGTGCACAGGGAGACGGTGTCTTGCACCGTAGGGTGGGATTACGCCCATGTAGCGGGGCTGCAGAGTAACTTTGTCACTGAGGTAAGGAACAGGTAATCTTTCTGGTCTGAGTGGGTGTTAGGCTTCGTGTTAACCGCTTTTTCCGGATCCAGGTTGTTGTATCCATACGTTGTATCCACGTTAACATCACCACAATAGTCGTTTTACTAACTGTGGAAATCTTTCTATTGAGAGACATTTCCCTTTGTCTTGTCACGTTTACAACTGATTATTTTGACCTTGCTCCAAGATGGTGGTGCTGATCTGGATGTATTCCTCTAAATTAAAAGCAGTATTTTTCTTCTCGAAGCATGTGTGGTCATGAAGACAGCTGTTTGAGCACCATTCTGTCAATATTTGCTCACCAGTTCCAACTTTGTTAATGCAAAGTCGTGTTTCACTCTCAATTATCTGCTGTCTTGCACTCTGTTTCCCAGGGTCACAGATAATCATGCAGAGGAAAACATACCATATAAATACAATCAATGTGTATGGATTTATTCAGGATTAAAAACTGAAGTATTGGATCTGAGTAAGAGTGTGTGTGAAAAGACAAAAGGGCAACTGTAGTTGGCTTTGCTTTCAAGCTATGTTTTTGTTTGAGAGATTTCCGATCTGATAATGCATCCTCTTTGATTGTCTCGTACTTTATGTAGCCTAACTAGTGTATGGACACACACAATGGGTTCCAATGTGACTGGGTCTTGTTGTGCAACTCCATGTGTAAATAAGCAGCAGGAATGGGTTTATCTTATCCTCAGTCTGTTTTTTGGGGCTTCAGGTATTTAAGGATCCATCCCAGTCTGCAAATATTGACAACAAGTTCTAAGAAAAATATTCCTCAACGTGACCCTTTGTAAACACCTTACACATCTGTGTCAGTGCAGTATTTTGTAACACATACTGACACAACATCAGAGTACTAATCTCTAAACAACTGTAGAGATATTGAGGGTTGACCAGCAGGAGGAAGTCATTAAGGCTAATTCTCCTTCCACTTATCGGCCAATTGTGTTTGTCTCTGTCTATATTTTTGTGTTTATAACATTGCCCCAAGGAAACAGAAACTTTTCCTCATTTACCCCCCTCCCCATGACAATCTGTGGCGCAGGGAAGTCTGAGGCCTTCATGTTCCTTCCTGAGACCCTGAACGCCTCCTTCCTCAACTACAGCTTCCTCTTCACATGACATAATTCACTGCGACAGGGGAACACTTTAGTAAAGGAGGAAAATAATACAGTCAAATCCTGCTCATCATATATTGACAAAATAACACATTAGGGAACAAAAGTCCTCGACTATCAACTTGGAAAGGCTCAAAATGTTGTTGTTTTTTAGAACGAGGTTTTCATCAACTACATCTCTGAGACCATTTCCTCTATGGGGTCTATGGGGTCTATGAGGATCTGATTGTGACCCTTTTTCCTTTTCGCCCTATTCATTAGCTTAGCATATGATGCCTTTTTAGAAACCAGTGCACCATCAAGACAGACTATTTGGCCCCCATGTACGCTTGTATTAAAGTTTGATTACTTACTGTGAAATAACCTGATGTGCAGGGGGACACTGTGTCAAAATCTAGTTTCAAGAGTTACATAGTATGCCTATAATGTTCATATTCCTAAATAAAATGTGTTTATTCAAATAACCATACAGCAAATATGGCAGCGTAATGTTCCAGCATTGGGATAGCGCGCACAATACACACAGAGGTGTCGACGGAGCAACAGGGATCAAAAGGACTCCAAAAAGGTTGTGGCATCAACAATAAAGATGTTCTTTCAACTTCTTTGGACTACAAGTGTTGCTGGAGTTTTGACCCTTTCAGTTTCCCTTCTTAATTCAGCTAGCTGCTTTGTATCCATAGTGTCTGTAAATGCTCAATGTCATAACATACCTGGACTGCACACAGAGAACATGGTCGAGGAGGCAGATGGAAAAAGACACGGACGAGAAGAAGACTTGGCTATCAGGCAGCGACTGGTACTAACCAGGCGTAGAGCAGCTGGCACGCTCTGCTTTGAGCACCACTTTGTTTTAATGTAATAATACTGTCAGCAGACATCTTAACTCAATTATGGACGACATGATCTACATTCCTGCTTCCTGACAGAAATCTCTCTGTGTTGTTATCAAATAACAATGAAAGAGGCTTGTTGGAAACAATTAGTTCATGTACTTTTTTTATGTTTTTAAATGCATTAATCTTCTTTTAGAAAGAAATGTAGTGACCTACATATTTATGATGTATACACTTAGCTCAGAAATTACTTAGAGAGTGCTTTACATCAACTGCTTATCACATGAAGTAGGCACTGGTTTGAGTCTAAAAAATGTTCTTGTATACATTACTTTTTCTTCACTTTTAGAAATGGAGATTTTAATGGTGCTTTGGTCCAAATATGCTGCTATGGTGTAAGCTTAGTTTTGGCTTGTAGAATTGGTTTGGTTTGTTTTGGGTCAGATCGTAATAGCTTACAAGAGCAAACAAAGTTTCAATAGTTACAATATAATATATATTACTATGTATAATATATTATTGCTAATAATTGGCAATTAAAACAGTTGGCAATTAAAACAGGCCTTTAACACTTTGACTTAAAGGTCATTTTGTACGGCAATTGGTCTCTTTTTACGCCTCATCAGATAGCAGTGCTCTGTATTTCTGAGTTCATATTGAGTTTTGTTTTCTCACAGTTTATTTCAACGTACTTCTTTGTCCTCCTCTGCAGTGGAACCTGGTCTGCAGTGACTTCTGGAAAATCCCTTTGCAGCACATCTGCTTCATGACAGGATGGATTCTGGGATATATCCTCCTTGGTACATTGTGCGACTGGTAATTCATAATCATACTTTATATGGAAAGTTAAGACATGTTTAGTAAGATGTATGGTCTGAGATCATTTAGTAATGTAATAGTTTAAGAAGTAATGAATCCCCAACTCAATATTATAAAGAGTTGTATTGGATATACTTTATTTCATAGATCATTGTATATTTGAAAAATATTGATGTAGTCTAAATTTCGTAATTATGTTTTTCCTCGTGACGGTATTATTTTATTGGCAGTGTTAGCCAGAGTTTTTTGTATTTCTTTAAAATCATAAAACTGAGTTACCAGCTAACATTTGCTGCCTTTAACAATATCTCTTGACTTTGATGTTGACACAAAACATACAACTCTACTACCACTACTACTACTTAGCCAGGTTAGATAGGCACTATCTGCATCCGTGTACAGCTGAATAAATAACAGGAGATATTGGTTTCTGTGTCTATTGTGAATTGTAGAAAAGCAGACTTCTGAAAAAAGGACATTTTAAGATAAAAAAAACACCAATTTATTTTGGAAAATACATTCAATTATAATGCGTTGAGTTGAATGTTTTAGCAATAACCTTAAAAAAATCATGATTCATTCATTTTTTTACACAATCATATGAATTATTTTTGTAATTGCTTATTTATTCAGTCAATATAAAAACATTCAAAAATGCATGTACAAATGTGTTTGAAGGCTGGGCCGTCGGCGGTGTTTCCTGCTCTCCATCAGTCTGTCCAGCCTGCTGGGGGTGGTTGTGTGTCTGTCCAGCAGCGCCGTGGTGTTCCTGCTGCTGCGCCTCTCTCAGGGCGTCATGCTCGCCGGGGTCTTTGTGTCCTCGTACATCGCCAGTGAGTATCCTGCACACACATTCAAATGTTGTCCCACTTATTCTGCGGTTAGGCTCCCTGGAGCCTTGTTCAGTAACAAGCCTCTCAACCGGACTGGGAAAAAACAACCTCAGCTTCCTCAGACACGAACGCTCACTTCTTTGTTTACTTTGGAATAACGTTTGGATTTCTTAGCTCCGCTCTGAGTCATTCGCTGGTGCTGAGTTTATCCAAAGGTCATGTGTTTGATAAATCACATTTCTTCCTTTTTAATTTGTAACTGGGATTCTAATGTATATGACAACAAATGACATAAAGTATCAACATTCGTGCAATAGTAATAGAGAAAAAATAGTAGTAATAAGTGAAATACAGTGAGAGTAGTGACATATTACAGTGTATTAGTTGTTTACAGTTTAAGACGTGCTGCTGTTTATTATGTTTAAGTGTCATTAGGGGGAAGGTCCCACAACCCCATATGTTCTCAAAATGAAATACTACTCATTTAATATAAATACTTTTTGCTTGATCTCATCTTTAAAGTTGTTCTGCAGCCATTGTTTTGCGGACCAACACATTACATGTTATCTCTTGCGGAAAATCAAATGTTATGTAAATGTTATCTAATGTTAATGCAATAAATCATGGCCTTGTGATTCCCAGCGTAGAATAAATTGTCACGCGGGTTGCATTCATGTAGGTTCCTGAGTTTCTTTGTGAGCAACCACTGCACAGTTGTTTCAGCACATTACTCCCTAACCTTTCTACCGATCTATCTGCTAAACTGACAATCGAAAAATGCTAGTTGATTATATTAAGAGGCTAAAAACAAACTGTGGATTTTGTAATTGTGTGTAATAACTAAAGCTAAAAACCATGCTTTTCTCGGTAGTTGAAAAGAGGAGATTTCCCTTTTAAGAGGCATTCAGTAATGGACCCAACCATTACCGAATGTTGATAAGGGCACAACAGTTTCTCACTACTGTAGTCTTTAGTTGAAATGTAAAATGTAGTATTCGCCCCTTTTTGACTGGAAATCTTTATTTGTTGAAAGTTCTTAAAAAAAATACATTAAGAGGAATCCATCATTGAAAGTGCTTCAATTTATTGATTTGTGAAACACCAGATATAAATTAGCTCTTAAACTCAACAGAAATCGCTCAGCACAATATATTGTGTACAGTGCAGTTAGACGTTGTCTTTATTATAAGTCACTCAATCAGAGTTGAAACACAATTGTTACAGTGAAGGCCAAAACCAGGGGACAGGCAGTTTTCAAAAATAAATTAAACTGCATTCCTTCCTGTATCATTTCCTGTCAACCTCAGCGTTTTTAATCCAGTGCAGGAGCGGCGACCCTGCCATCAACAACTCAATCTACTTTGTAGAGAAATAATTAAGGATTATAGACTAAAACTTTAATTAGCAGTGGCAATTTAAAGTCCTAATTTAATTTGACATGCATCGCTGGAAATCCTGACCATTGATGTCAATCCTGACCATTGATGTCAATCCTGACCGTTGATGTAGGCTACAATTGCTTTCCTAAAATGAAAGATTTAGGCTTACATTTCTGCTTTAGCGTGGGTTTGTGTATGACTCTTTGCAGCTGTGTGTGTTGTGCTGCACTCTGAGTGACAGCTGCTTGTGCTTTATTACTTTTACCTCTCAGCTGTCCTGCTTTTAGTGGCCGTACCTCTCTGTGGCGAGGCCATAGATCAACGTGTTCATCATGGCTTTGTCGCTGATGAGATGTCCTTTACTGCTAGGAGTATCTCTCATACAGCGAGTTTCCATTCGGGAACTGTAAACCAATAATGAAGCGGCAGAGGAATGTAATTGCGTTAGCGTTTGTAGAAACTGTGCTCATTGCTGCGTGGGAGATGGGGGGTACAGGGTAGTGGCATCATATGAAATACACACTCTTAGACACACCCTATTTTCTGTTTTTAACACACGCAGTTACTCCCACATTCCTGCAAGGTCAGGAATAGATTGATTCCAGATTTTGTTTTGGCACAAATGTTTCTCTGAGACCTGCCAGCGCTTTCCGAGAAGAGAAAACAATAGCAGGACAGAACTCAGGTCGAGGAAGTGAGCTTCTCATTTTCCTTCTCTCTCCCTCAGGCAGGGAGGAAGTGGAAAGAGAATCGGAGCTCTGGGGGGGGAAGGAGGTTAAAGTTCAGCAGAAACTCACACAGCTTGACGCACTTCCAAACATGTTTACATCTCCTAGCAGCTTTATTTTCCTTGTTGCTTTATCGTTTTCAGATTGTAGCAAGAATTGGCTTTGCTTTGTACATTCTATGAAATGGATAACTCTAAACCATTTGATCACCTCTTGTAACCTTAAGTACTCAATAAGCAAAACAATTGTTGGTTGTTGACATAAATGAAGGTAGTTATGTCTACATGTCAATATCACATCTTTGGGAGGAGAAGAAAAAAAAGATACGAACAGAAAAATGTTTGGCTTCTCCATTTTTGGAGTGAATAAATTCAATCTGGTCAAAAACGTAGGGAGGTTCTTACTTGTCACTTGTCCTGTATTGAACCAGTTCCACATGAGGGCATAACCTGAATAAAAATACATGACTACATACTTCTGACTGTAGCTTTATGTGTGAAGGGTTCATGTCCGGACAGGAAATGAATTGGTTTTGGACAGATGTATTAGTTTTGCTTCAGCTGTTTGATGAGATCTGCCTCTCTTCTCTGTCTGTTCCCACCGCTCTCTCAGGGTTGGAGCTGTGTGACCCCCCCAATCGTCTCATGGTCGCCATGATCAGCAGCTTCTTTAGCGTGATCGCAGAGCTGCTGTTGCCAGGTATCGCTGTTCTGTGCCGTGATTGGCCCGTTCTTCAGGCCGTGGCCACTTTGCCTCAGCTGCTGCTGCTTTCCTATTGGTGGTGAGTCGAGTGGCGTTATCTGCAGTGCGGACATGGACACGCCGTGTGTGTATTTGACGAAGCATTGTGGCCAGTCTATTATTCTACAGTGGTGCTTAACACATTGATGTCAAACAACACACTCAGACAACTTTAAGTATTATACATCAGCGAGAAACACCTGAGGAGAATGAGTGTCCTTCCTTAAAGGTCCCATGTCATGGCCATTTCCACTGATCATAATTCCATTGTTGAGGTCTACTAGAATAGATTTATATTGTGCAATTTTCCAAACTCACATTGGTTTCTCATACAGCATCTCTGTAAACTACGTGTATTCACTGAATTTCACTCTCTGCCTTTAACGGCTCGTTGCAGCTCCAATAGCTCCAGCCCCCACCCTCCCTGTGAGCACAGTGTGCTCTGATTGGTCGGGACGTTGTGAATCGCGCTGAGCTCCATGGAGGTGTTGTTTCCTTGTTTAGCGATACACAGCGAAACACAGCCAAACTCACACTGGCCTGAGCACACACAAAGTCACAGCCGAAGTAAAAACAATAAGTGTGGCTTGATATTGAGTAAGAAAAAGGTTGATAAACGCTGTGAGAATGGGTCTGCAGAGAGAATTTTGCCCCGATCTCAACTGTCTGTTATCAGCCTGCAGCAGCCAGGGAGGAGAGATCAGCAGAGCTGCATGCACTGACTGTGTGTGTGAGGAAGTCTGTGGATTGGTCAATTTGGACCAATCAGCGGGGGCTTAACGTAACGGCTCCGCGGACGTAACGTAACGTCCTCCACGGATTGGTCCATTTCGTTCCGGGTACGGTTGACATCATGCGTACCCGGAAGAATCAATGGACAATGACGTATCTCCAACGAGGCGTTTTGGGGAGGTATGTTCTGTGTTAGAGTTTTACTCGCTACAGGGTGTACTTTGAGGGTTTGTGACTCTGCAGACCGTTTACATGCAGAAAAACCTTCATAACACAAGGGGACGGGTAATCATCAGAAAAGCATGACATGGGAGCTTTAACTCGGGTTTGTTTTGCTGATTATTCCAGTACTACGAAGACCTTCAAAAACTGAAGTGTGTGCTCTTGTCTGTACTCACTTAAGATGTTTAATAATTAGTTACATTGAATAGAAAGGCTTTAGTGGATGACCTTACATTTTTTGATGTTAAACACGACCAAAACTGAAGTTATTGTACTTGGCCCAAAGAATCTACGAAACAAATTATCTAAAGATATACTAACTATGGATGGCATTAATTTGGCCTCCAGTGAGACTGTAAGGAATCTTGGTGTTATATTTGATCAGGATTTATCCTTTAACGCCCACATAAAATCAATTTCAAGGACCGCCTACTTCCATCTACGTAACATTGCAAAAATCAGGCATATTTTGCCTCAAAACGATGCAGAGAAACTAGTCCATGCATTTGTTACTTCAAGGCTGGATTATTGTAACTCCTTATTATCAGGGTGTACCAAGAAGTCAGTCAAGTCGCTTCAGCTGATTCAAAATGCTGCAGCTCGTGTACTAACCAGAGTTAGGAAAAGGGACCACATTACTCCTGTTCTGGCTGCCTTACACTGGCTCCCCAGAGAACACAGGATAGAATTTAAAATTCTTCTTCTCGCCTACAAAGCTCTTAATGGGCAGGCGCCATCTTACCTTAAAGAACTCATTATACCCCACTTTCCTACTAGGGCATTGCGTTCCAAGAATGCAGGGATGTTGGTTGTTCCTAGAGTCTAACTCAGTCTGAACCGTGTTGTTTTCCTCAGCTGTGTGTCGGTGTTTCCTGAGTCTCCTCGCTGGCTGATGGCCACAGCTCAGATCCCTCAGCTGAAGAGGAGTCTCCTGGAGTTCTCCACCAGGAACGGAGTTTGTTTAAGAGATGAAATCTACCCTGGAGAAACCCTGCTGTCAGGTACACACAGCCTCAGTGCATATGTTATTTGCAACATCATTAGCCTTTTTAAAACTATATATTGATTGAATAATTCATTTTAAATCTACTACGCTTGATGGCAGCAATTGGTAGAATGTGTCAAAAATAGATGTGAACCCTTAAACCCTGCAGAATGACTAGCCTGAAAACCTTTGGCTGTTTTGGGATGGCTTTAATTGTTTCCGGGTATTATTTCCACCTCTTTTCCTGTTCATAGAGATAGATACAGCCTTCGGTGAAGACTGTCAACCAAGGTACTTTTCCATTTTGGAGCTGCGTCAAACTCGTGTTATCTGGAAGAACTGCCTCATCCTCAGCTTCACACTGTGAGTTTTTATTCTGGGTGTGAAATAAGGAAGGTTCCTTGGACTTATCCATGAAATTGAAAGGCTTTCCATTGCACGATATGAGCATGTTGAGTGTTGGGTTTAATCAATGTTTATGTCCTCTCCCTGTCCTTCAGGTTCATTGGAACTGGCATTCAGTACTGTTTCACCAGAAACCTGCACACTTATTCCTCCAACTTCTACTTCAGCTACTTCCTTCGAGTGATGACCGGAGCTCTGGCCTGCGTCTTCATCTGCCTGTCCGTCAATCACTTTGGTCGGCGGGGTATGCTTCTGCTCTCTGCCATCATCACCGGCCTGTCGTCGCTGCTGCTGCTCGCCCTCACTCAGTGTACGTTACACAGCTTTTCTTCACATCGTTATTTTGGATTTGGATTAGAAATTCAAATGTATACAAGACACTGTAACATACAGTATGTCAATTGCTGACGGTTCAGGGTCTCAGATTTTAAGGTTATAGAATGAATTTAATATCATGAAATTGGACAGATCACCATTGCAGTTTATATACGGAATCACTGTTGATTATCTCTTAACCTTCAGGTCAGGACCTAACATGAAACTTGATATGCATATAATGCATTTTAAGCATACTCCACTCTTTACATTTAGTTTAGGTCTTATTGATATTCACATGATGAGTTTAAAGGTTGGCGCTCATGCCATTGCTGTTAATGGTGCTGAAGTTCTCGTGTCTTCACAGAGAAGTCATGAGTCTGTGCTCCTGTTTTTGTCTCAGATCTGCGGGGGGGCCTGGTGTTGGTGTTCTCTGTGGTGGGGCTGCTGTTCTCTCAGGCTCTCGCCATGCTGAGTGTGTTGTTCGCTTGTGAGGTGATGCCCACTGTGGTTCGGTAAGTATCTTCTTGACCAAATTGATCGAGTTATTTATTTTAATTGTCAAAAAATCCTATAAAAAAATCCAAAGCAAAGACAGAAATAATGTTTGTAGCAAAAATCCCCTAGAAATGCTCTGTTTAACCTGTTTCTTTAACTTTTGCTAGAAAAAAGCACAGCTGTTTTAGGAAATAGTTTTGCCTAAAAATCTAAATAGCTATAATGTGTAACCCATTATCAAAGTATTGTGTTTTCTGTAGGAAAGTATATCAAGTTGTCTGATCTCACCACTTTGACGCCTGTTGATTTCTCTTCTCCTCTCCCTCCCTGTCAGAGGCGGTTGCCTCGGCCTGGTGCTGGCAGCGGGTTGTGTTGGCCTGGCCGCCTCCTCCCTGATGGAGCTCCAGAACAACGGGGGCTATTTTCTCCACCATGTCATCTTCTCCTCCTTCGCCGTCCTCTCTGTTCTCAGCATAATGCTCCTGCCTGAAAGCAAACGCAAGCCGCTCCCAGACTCCCTGAAAGAGGGCGAGAACCAGCGCCGGCCCCCTCTCCTCCTGCCCCGGCCCGACAGAGACGACCTGCCGTTACTCAGCACCCGGCCCCTCCTCTCAGAGTACAACCCTGATAACTACTCCCGCCTGGTCTCTGCCACCAGGAAGATGTTGACTAAAGAGAGTTTGCCTTATAGGATCGATGTGCCAATGCAGGCCCCTCTGCTGTCGGACAGTGAAACACAGAGTCAAGAGGATGGAACTCTGAAAGAGGGCATGTCTTAGTGACCTCTCCTTTGTACAGACTCAGACTATACCTCCTCCTCCTTCTAGACATACCTCCACAGAAAGTCTACCACCATGCTTCATTTAATTATTGTCTAAGTCACTCACTGGTTATAGCTCAACTGATGAACTGACTTGGATTGGTTGCAGTGCACTTTAGAGCGACGGCTCCAAGCGTGTCCATGTTTTGGACTCTTCTCGTTACATTTGACTTTCAGAGCTGTTGGTGCTGCAGCAAAGAAAAACTGTAGTGTTTCATTAGCAGCTTACGTGTTTATACCTTAGCCTTGCTCGTCTGTCTGTAAGCTTCCAAACCCAATCGTCAGACACTATTTTCCCCAGAGAAGCTCGCTCAACCGTGAGGCTGCTGTTGATCATGTGGGCTGCGGTGCTTTGTCCATTTCTTAGTGACTCTTTTCATTAACTCACCCATCTCATTGACCAGCTGTGTCTCAGTGCTGAGCGGATCCCCAGGACACACAAGACAAGTGTCTTTGTGGAGTCTTGTTATTCTTGTGAAGCCCACAAGGGGGAACTAAATGATGCACTGAGTATTGAATCTGATGACAGAGTCAAAGGATATGACTGTTTTTTAAATTGTGCCCCTACCAATCTACCTTGTTTATCCAAATATTTCACTTGGAAGTGTTTGGGAAAATGTTGGTAAAGGGACCTGTGTAGGAAAATAGCACTAGATACCAACCAGATGATATTGAATTTAGTCTGGATGATACTTTTGTCTGCGTTATAAACCACTTTGTCTCAAAGTATTATTTAAAGGTGCTATTTCTACCTTGTGTTTCTGTTAAAACACTGAATGTAGCCGATGAATCTGCAGGTGTACTAACCTCTGTAGCTGGCAGCCAAAACTGTCAGCAACCTCTCTGTTCTCAAATGATTATAAATTGTGTCCTTTAGTTTCTTCTTAGTCCAAAAAAATGTAAATGGTTTAACAGAAAGCCTTAAATGAAGGGCATTAAATATTTTCATAATAACAGATACAACCTGAGTCAATATTTTAAAAATATAAAGTGTTTTGTAATGTAATGTTTGAGGACTGAGGCGCATGTTAATCCCATATCATCTTGTTGAATGTTGAACACTTCAAGGTCGCCATGTTTAATAGAAGAAAAACACACTACTTTGTTTGACATTCAGGAGATGTGTAATAGTTCACCTAATGTATCCGCACAGTTATGAGGTTACTGTCAGTGAACAAATAAAGAAGATTGTGTTCCTCCAGTAGCTCAGAAAACCAATTGTTTGTCTTTATTTTCATCCTCTTTGCAAAGTGAAAACCTTAGAAACTTCATCCATCATGCCATCAAGTCAAATGCTCCTGTGTATGCAATGTGTAAATTAAATTTGAAAACGTGCAAATCACCAACATTTGAATTGGTGGAGCCACAAAGATAGTTTGCATCTCTTCAGTGGTTACACACTAAGAACACTAGGTGGAGCTGTGGACACGTACTGTACTACTTCCTGCTTAATTGTAAGCACACTGATGTTACGGAATATGGTTGTCTGTGTGTGAGAGTAAGTGTGTATGCATTTGGAATATACTGGTGAGACTTTGTCAACATGTTATTATCCAGACACATTTCTATTTGCTCACAGCAGCTTCAATCTCACAGTGGTAAAGTAGGATAAAATAACCAGATGATGCAAGGTAAAGTTAATTTGAAAAGAACCACAACAATGTTTAAATCCAGTTTAATAGTAAATTCAATATGATCCACCTTCCCATTGTTTGCTAGGTGCTAAACCTACATTCCAAAAGTTCAGGGTTTAATACCCAAAGGTTAAACACACACAGATCTTCAGGACAAAGCAGAATACTCTTAATTTCCATTATGTAAGCAATTAGTGCTATTAGTCGACTCTACTGTATTCGGAACATGTGTTTGTGTATTAAAACATAGCTTATGAATTTGATCATGTTATAACAGCATGGAGGGCCAGTGTGAGCAGGAGGCCCAGTGTGCTGAGGGGGTGCACGGCTCCAGTGTTCAGGGTCTTGTAGCCGTAGCTCGTCCTGCAAGTATTCTTCACCTCGTCGTATGGAATAGGAACATCATCTGGACTCTTGTCTCTCAGACCGTCACGCACCTGACAAACAGAGATCAGAGCGTCAGGCAGCAGACAGAAAGGCACTGTGACAGGGGGGGGGGGGGTGTGTGTGTGTGACAAAAAATCAAGAAAAAATGTATTTCATTTTTGTTATCAGTGTGTTCAGTTGAATGCACTTCTGCATACATATATGTGTTGGATTGCTTTTGACTCAGCAACTTGATTGTCTTCTGCTTTATATTGTTGTGGCCACTATGTACAGAAAGTAGGAAAATAATAAAATGAATTATTTACTAAAGAAGTGAGATACCAGAGCCTCAATAACCATCTCTACATAACTGCCTTGAGTTTTTGGATGACGTCAATATTCACAGGGCATCAAGATGTCACTTTCTATTCTTTTGAATATGACAAAAGTTATACATATATGCTATATGTGACCCACCTTTAAACTTTACTTTTCCTGAGGGGGTGTGTGTGTGTGTGTGTGTGTGTGTGTGTGTGTGTGAGAGTGTGTGTGTGTGTGTGTGTGTGTGTGTGTGTGTGTGTGTGTGTGTGTGTGTGTGTGTGTGTGTGTGTGTGTGTGTGTGTGTGTGTGTGTGTCATCATGTCAAAAGCTGTGTGTAGGCTCATATCATATGCTGGGAGGCAGTCATGGAGACAGGCGTGTGTGTGGATATTCAGACCTCTGCAGACTCGAGGTGAGATGATTGATGGACGACAGATAACTGCTGGGACAGGTCAGAAAAGTTTGGTGTTCAAGAAACTCCAAGTATGTGAGTTGCATTTTTCTTTACTGCCACCTTTTTACAGTTGATGTTTAAACAAAGAAAAAAACATGTTTGCATCCACACACACGTGCCTACGCTCTCACATGCATATTTCCCACAATGCTCGGGGGCTTTTCAGCATATAGGCATGAGAGCTGACTTGGTCATAGCTGTCTTCTGCTCCCTGTTTATTCCTCTGTCTGTCTGTTGCCTCCCTTCACGACAGATCAGTGGCGCGGTCCAGTTGACACCTTGTTCACATCTCCTGGACTCACAAGCTGACAGCTGAGTCACAGTCAGGACAAGCAGAGGAGGACGAGGGAGAGCACAGCAGTTTGTACCGGACGAGAGAGAGAGCTGAGAGAGATAACACAGGCTGGATTAGAGGCAGTCCTTTTATATTTTTGGGGTTTTCCCTTTCCTCTTGGTTTTGGTGCATGTAAATGGTCTGCAAAGGACAAATTCCCTGTGTTCCCTTCAAAGACGCCTCCTTTGGACTCCTATGTTTTCCTCTGTAACATAGTGACATCATTATGTAACGCTCGGGCTTCTATTGGCTAGCGCAACAGCATATGATCTCTAATCTCTCAGCAGTTGACCAATCACAACAGAGCTGGCCAGCTAACCAATCAGAGCAGACTGGGCTCTGGTTTCAGACAGAGGGTGAAACGAGGTGCAGCAGTACAGGCAGTA